CCCTGACAACTGTGAGCAAATCAGCCATTGCGCAGTCTCGCCTTGTCCGTCTGTTGCTCACCGCATCCCACTGCTCCCTCTGGCAGCTGAAATGGACAAGGGGATCGGCCAGGCACGTGGGCACATACAGGGGAGTCATAAGAGCATTCATGTGGAAGACCAATGGAATAATAATGTTGACTATTATTACCGTTGCCCAATTTTCATAAAAATGTGACTCCCGTTGTGCTTTTTTGAGGCTTTAAGAAAACGTGCCAGTGAACAAAAAGGTGTAGTGATCAGAGAAAGGAGGAGCAGACAAGATGGGCATTGCTGCGAAGGACAGTGGGATGCCAGCTCCAGCCGGATGGAGGGGAAGGAGTGGGAGAACAATTCCAGGGAACAAGCATCTGTCAGGCACACCATGGGTTGTTCAGTAAGCAAGCAACCCACTGTAGCTTATTCACAGTATGGCTTCATGTGGGGTGCAAGCAGGCCCATTGTGTTTCAACGGTTCAGATGTCCAGTTCCAGAAGGTGAATTTGAGAGAATTCTCTTTGACTCCTTGGCATTTATAGTGTGCTGCCTCCGAAGGTTCCCTTTTGCCACTGGGTCTGTGAATCATCCAGCATATGCTCTACATAGGGCTGCTATGTCATTCAGGCACGGGATGGACCGTCACACCCAGTATGAGCTCTTCTGCAAAACAGCAAGGCAGTGCTGCCTTCCCGCTTCCTATGCAACGTTCAGTGTGGCAGATGTGGACAGAGGAATAGCTGAGGGCCTGCAGCTGAGCCATGCGCTGATGCGTGGCAGAGCCTTTTGAACAGTGGTGAAGTGCACCCAGGGCTCACAGGGCAGAAGCACCCGAACCTTTTGATTTGGAGAGCAAAGGCGCCATCTGCCAGTCCTCAGGATCCCCACTTGAGTTCAGCTGCAATCCTCAGAGTGGCTGCGGGGAAATGAATTTCTCCAACAACAATCCACGGCTCTGAGTGATTTCCATTGTAATGCAAAATAGTTTGTGGGTGGAGGTGGTTTGGTCTTGAATGGGCAATTAAGATCCATTAGCTTTACAAAAGACCTGCTCCCAATGCAGGGAAATTGCTAGAACTGCTTTGCTGTTTGGTCTCTCCTCAGGGGCGTGGTTTTGGGGACGGCCTTGATGATTGCCTACATGAAAATGTACCACCACACCAGTTCTCTTGAGTCAAAGGTTCTTATGCATCTCGGGAGTCTTAATCGGATGGGCGTCAGGACCGGAAACTGTCAGCTGTAATATCATGATGGCTGTGCCTCCCTGTGTGAACCTAATGCATTTATTCATCAGAAAAGTCATTCAGCAGCCAGCAGATGAGGGGGAATCAGCAACGAAAATGTTACTCCATTGACAACTGTACATGTCACTCAATCTGCTCGTGCCAAAGGCAGATTTTTTACAAAACCTGTTCCTTGGAGAGCTTTTCCTAATTGCTTTCTTAAATACAACATCCTTGTGTTTAATGCAACTGTGAGTTGAGAAGATTTGTGGGCCACCAAGGGCTGTACATGTGATTTTTTTTCTCACTAAGCATTTTCATAATGACATTATGAAGGATTCTTTAATGGGAGATCAAAGGGCTTTCCAACTGACAGTGCTCTGTGCTTAGGCTTTCCTTTATCTTTTTAAAGCTACAGTCAAGTGGGGGGGGGGGGGAATTGAGGGTTTTCAACATAACGTCAAGTGTCTGAAGGTTTTATTTCTAACTGTCAGGGGAACCTGACAAGTAAATGACAAGTAGTACATATAACGGTCTAATTGTGTCCTCCCCTGAGCTAAGAGAGAAAGTTAGAGATAGCATTTACACTTATGATAGTGTGTGGGGGGAATCACTGTCAAGAAGATGAAGCCCTACTCTCTCCTCACAGATCCTGGAGGATGGTAGCAGAGATGGCATCAGGAAGCCCTTCAGGATGGCCTCTTCCTGCAGGCATGCACAGCTGTTCCTGCCTTCTCTTAGCTCATCGACATTATTACTCCCATCTTTCTTGACTTCCTTTGCTCCTAGGATATACGCCTAGAGAAGCCAGTTCTGATGTGATCTGTTGCTGCACGACTTGACCCATTCTTGTCCTTCCCTTTCAGGGTTTGCCATTCTGCCTCTTCTCCTGCTTCTTCTACCTGCAGTCCTCGGCTTCGCGCCTTCCACTCTGAGCCAGCAGGAGGTCTCCTGCTCCCTTGAACAGTTCTGCACTTGCTGCCCCTTGTGGCTGGCATTTGTGTAGTGCACCCTCTCTCCTCCTCAAACCTGAAATTTCTCTGCAGACTTTGGTTGACCCTTCACTCCTCCCTAGCAGAAGTGGAGCCTGACCGAGCAATTCTGGGCATGATTCAGTGGGACATTTTCAGGGAACTGTGCATAGGAATGCAGCCTACACTCAACGCATGCAACTGCTTTTGTTCACCTCATGTGACAATAGCCTCGCCTTCCCTCTGTTGGCTGCCTGCTTATGTAATTTTAAAGATTCCTGGATGAGGACTCGTCTTCCAGTGATGCCACTCTGTGGAGCATCATGTAAGTGGATGTCCTCCACTGCCCCACCACTTCCAATACCATTACTGTTAATGATGCCATGGATGCGCTATGTCCCTACTTTCATCATGGAAGATGTCCCATATCTCAATGCTTTCTGGCATTTATTGAGTTCCTCAATAAACACCAGCTGCCCTGTGGTGTTAGCCCTTGCTTATGCCTGGATTTACATCTCAGAGGGTGTCTCATCTCGATCATTATTCTACCCCTGCTCTTTCATGAAAAATCATGAAAAATCCTTTAACACCTCCCCATGTCAACACACATGCTGAATGTATCACACATGTTCAGCCTTGCAGTTATTCTGTGTTACTTGAGGAGCTGGGGTGTTTCTGAATTTTCATCACCCTTGTTCCTTCACAGTTCCACAGAGGCTCTGCTCTGCTTTACATTTGGCATGCTGCGTCAAGAGGACAAGAAAAACCAAACATTATCCATCTTTGCATTGCAAATGCAGCAACAGCAGTGTAGAGCCCATGAGAGATGAAGAACAATGGACCAAATAGAAGGTAACAGCTTCAGCGACGGTCTAGATCATGCCAGGGTTGAACACCTGCAGCTTCCAGATGTTTTGGACTGTAATTCCCATCAACTCGCCCAGCATAGTCAGTGATAAAGAATGATGGAGGTTTATTTATTTTATCTATTTGAATTATTTCTATACTATTAAGTATTTTTTTCAAAAACTCTAAGTGGTTTCTATGTAAATATTTAAATCACAATTAAAATACCATCTAAAATGCAATTTTAAAGCAATTCAGTTACAACTAAAAAGGTAAAGGTTTCCCCTTGACGTGAAGTCCAGTCATGCCTTAGTCTAGGGGGTGGTGCTCATCTCCGTTTCCTAGCCGAGGGAGCCAGCGTTTGTCTGCAGACAGTCTCCGTGACCATGTGGCCGGCATGACTAAACACCGAAGTGCACAAAACGCTGTTACCTGCCCACCAAAGTGGTACCATTCTATCTACTTGCATTTGCATGCTTTCGAACTGCAAGGTTGGCAGGAGCTGGGACGGAGCAATGCGAACTCACCCCATTGTGCAGATTTGAACCGGCAACCTTTTGATCAACCAGCCCAGCAGCACAGTGGTTTAAACCTCTGCGCCACCAGCATCCCTTTCAGTTACAACTACAACAACACTAATAATATAGGCTGTAGTCTGGAGTGCAGCATGGGTGGACATCCCTTTTGTTGTCAAAGGTTGCATCAGTTCATGGATAATCTGTTGGGAGGTGTGTGCTGGTGGCTGGTGAGACACAAGTCAGGAGGCTGGTGAGGCAGGGTTGGCATCAGGGGTGGCATAACTGAGTCCCTGCCAAGGCTGCCAAACCTTCAGAGGACCGACTGCCAACTGTGGGGCATCCTGACTCTGCTGCTGCTGCACCTCCTTCTCCTTGCGACTGCTGTTCACCTGTCCTGAGTATGGAAACTGTGCAAAGTATTCTTGTGCTCTCCATCTGAGCAGATGTATAGAATGGACCCAGAAAGGGAAAGCCACTGGGGCCAGAAATCAGGAGGAGATGAGCCCACTGAAAGCATCTTGCTCCAGGGCCCTGCAAAACCTGGCACCAGCACTAGTAGGCAGGACCAAGCCAAGGCGGAGTGAGTCACCAGTTTTTTCTTCCTCCTCCTACCACTTCTTTTCTCCCTCCCCCATGTTCCTCCTCCCCAACAGTCTGTAAAGGAGAGCACAGATGGTTTTTGCTAGAAGTCTAAACATGTAGAACAGTTCTGAAATGATACTGAAGATGGAATGAAATTAATACTTGAACCACATCGTTCACCCTTGCAGTGGGGCATGTCCATGTGGATGGGGCAGAGGAGATACACATCAAGCACATGGTTATCTGTCTGTGCTTGCAAAACCTCCAGCCTGCACTGACCAACTGCCAACCCATCCTGTTCACAAAAGCAAGGCAATGAGATCTGTGCAGCTTGATTCACAGTGCAGTGGAATGCAGGAAAGGAAGGATAACCTGCATTTGGAAGGTATCTACTTCATTAGCTTCCACATTAAAATGAAAGCACAAGAACTTGTACCTCTGGATAAGGTTAACCATCTACTTTTATCTCATTAATTTCAGTAGAACCTAAGCTATCTCTTAAGTCCATCCTTCGTTCATGACCTCCTTCACACACTTCTTAGGAGACCTCTTACTGATAGATCCTTATTTGCACTCCAATAAACTATTTCTAAATTTACATTTCAAAGCAAAATATATCGGAAATATCCCTTTATGGTCATTATGACTACATCTATCCAAAGCTTTATGTACTCTCTGCTAAAAAGAAAAAAAAGGAAAGAAAAAAGAATTCAACTCGCTCAGTAGCTCTAGGGATAAAACAGGTAGCTGTGCTACATTGTCATCCTTAACAGTTGATGGCATTTTAAAACCACAATAATGTTAGAGGTCAATAATTAAAAAAATGAAATCATTTGTATGCTTACTTGATCGGGTTCTTTGCACTGTCAGGGTCTCGGGCAGACACGCTTCCTATAACTGTGTTTATCTGGACATTTTCCTTTACTTCAAGTACATAGGCTGGCTTGCTAAACACAGGAGGTTCATCAATATCCTCCACCTGGATTCTGACAGTCGTGATGTCTTTGAATGGCCCAAGGTAGAGGAATCTGGGATCCACATGAGGATTGCTAGCCTCCACTTTCAGAGTAAACTGCCTCTTCTTCTCAAAATCCAAAGCCTGGGAAGAGAAAATGGGACGTGTTAAAGAGAAAGCAATGAAAGCCTTTTCAGAGAGACTTGACATTGAAATAGGCACTACAATGTATATGAGCTCGCATACATCATGCGGCTCAAAGCAAACATTTACAGCCCTATCCTATGTACATTTACACAGAAGTAGCACTCAGTCTAGGGAATGAGCTGACATTGACCAGAGTGGGGCTTCCTTCTGAGTAAACATGCATAGGATTGCATGGTATATGCTTGTTTTGATAGGAACTCCAGGGGTTTCATGGAGTTTTATTCATCCTCATGGGGTTTCAGGGCATCTTTCTAACATCCTTTGCCTAATCCCCATCAGTGGATTGGTGTATGGTCCAAGAGTGCATCAATCCCAGCCATATGAATGCATTAACATACAGTGTTCATCAGAGGCGTCATAACCCTGTTGTCTTTGCAGTCCCTACTGGGACACCACAAAGAGGGGATGAACGGAGCCCTCCTGGGCCAATATACATGGCTGGTGATCCCAGTTCCATTTGGCTTGTGCAGCCCTGTACTAAAACTGCTGCTGGTAAATGGAGTATAGATAACAACTTTCTTGGTGGAGGTCCTTCTCTTGGGACTAACACAGGGATGCAAAAGAGCCAATGCGTATTTGAGATGTCCAAGATAACAGCAGTAACAGGGCCTATAAAAACCAGCAGCCAAGAAGAACCATGTTCTTCCCTTAATGGCCTTAACGGTTCTAATTTCAGATTAAACCTCCTTGCACAGAGGCAGCATGAATGTGGGGCAAGCTGCAGGAGGAGAAGGGTCACAGTACATTGTGCACTTTGTATCAAGAAAGTGGTTATGCCGCAGAGGCATTCAGTACAACAACTGAATCCTGAGGTTGTGGTTGGGTTCAGGCTTCCACACAGAATAAGAGATCCTTTGGACCAGGTGCAGGCACCAAAGCTGTAGAACACAAATCCTCTCTTGCTTGCACAGGTTACCAGTTTATTTCCAAGCCCAGTTCAAGGGGCAAGTTTGGAGTTATAAAACCCGTCTTTTTGAGCAGGGCAAGAGGCTTTGGAAGAGCTCTCCAAAGTGCTGAACCTCTTCCTCCAAAGAAGCGCAGGGCACCATGGGCAGCTCCTACAAAACTGAAAAAAGCTTAAATGGATGAGGAGCCCCACCACACAGGAATCAGCACAATGGAACGCCTTGGTGCGTTATGGACCACTTTCTCCCATAGGTATCTACCCATCCTTTCAGGTGATCCATAGCAATCCTTCCTGAAGTGCCCTCTCATTCTGAGGCTACAGAGTGTCAGTGAGAGCGGGGGCTTTTTGATGGTGGCTCCCAGCTCCATGCTGCTATCTTTTCTGCATCAAACTAATACATTTCTGTTTTTAAAATCTGTTTGAAAATCTGTTTAAGTATTTTCAAATGCTATTTTTGTTTGATTGTTCTGCTTCCTATAACTTGCTTTTACTTTTTCTGCATGGGACTGTGTTTTACACTGTATCTTCATGCACATTAGTTTGTATGGTTGTTGCAGCAGCTGATGCTGTGTCATGCCTAGAGAAAAAATGAGGCGCATAATAAATGTCATGCATAGCTAATGCATAGCTTTGCTTTCAGTGAGAGTCAGAACAATCAATACCTCCAGTCAGTTCAACAGCTACAGGTTTTGCCCAGTTTTACTCCCAAATAGGAACAGGACTCCCTGTCTAGTTCTGAAAAGCCCCTGGCCTCAACACAAGAATCTGATCTGAACTGGGGCTGTGTGCCTACTCGAGAGTAAAAGTGAAAGCAAAGCCATAGCCATTGGAAATATATTTAAGGTGATATGCGTTTCAGCCCTTCAGGTCATTCTTTTGGGACATTTAGTCATGATGCTCAGGGAAGGAAAGAAATCGCTGCAAGTACCTTGCCTCTGAAGAAAAGTCCTTTCATCTGAGTTAATTGTATTCTATGAAAGCTTGTTAATACCATGGTACCTTGGCTCACGAATGCCTCAGTTCAGGACCAAATCAGGTCGCCAACAAAAAAATCATAAAAATTTTGACTCAGGTTGCGGACCCCACATTCGGTGGTGACCTCAATTGTGGCCGTCTCCCCAGGCACCCAAGTGGCGAGATGGCCATGACTGCAGTTGTGGTCATTCAGGGAAGACAGCCACAGTTGTGGTTGCGCTCGGGGGGGGGGGGGGGCGGGGGGATGGCCAAGATTGTGCCTGTCTTTCCTGCACAAGCCCAACCATGATCTCAGCCATCTCCCCACCCCAGCACAATCACACCCATCTCCCCCCCAAGCACACCCACGATCACACTCGTCTCCCCCCAAGTGTGCCTGCAATTGCACCCATCTATGGCCACTATCACACTCATGCTGGGGGGTGGGGGGAGATGGCCGCAATTGTGCTCGGGGTGGGGGGGGGAGATGGCTGTGATCTTTGTTGTTCTTTGTCTCTTTGCTTCATTTTTTTCTGATTAAAAAAATAGTTACCGAATGGATTAACCTTATTTACATTGAACCTTATGGGGAAATTTGACTTGGCTCATGACCAATTTGCATCACGACCAGATTAAGTTCATGAACCAAAGTACCACTGCACATTTTTCTTTTTTTTAAGGAAAAGCCCTGAAGGAACCTTTTATCAGTTTTATCAAGATCAGTTTTATCTTGTTCATCTCCCTCTTCTTCAGGGGAAATAGTTGAATTGGAAATGGGAAGGAGCATGTGTTTGTGTGTGTACATATGAAAGAAAGAGAGAGAAAAACTCATTCCTGGAAAGGTCAAGGCAAGGAGAAAGTATGCTTGGGTTTGGGCTGCTATGAACCGAATTGTTTCCTGCAACCACACTATGGATTGAAACCTCACAACATTGGCAGCCCCAGTAGGACCTCACATTAGAAGTTTACTGCAATTACTCTGTGGCTTTGTGTTTCTTCCTTTTTTCTGTGCATGTGTTTGTGGCTTTCCTCTTGTTTTGTGTTCTCAGTGGGTTTTCATTGATTCTTGGTTTTGCTGAAATTGTAAAAATCAAATAAATCCATACATACATAAAAGAGTGCTCACATATGCAAGTAGCCCCATTTTGAATAATTCTTTCAGCCTTACTGTGAAGGCTTCAGCTGAGGAAGGTGTTTGTGAATGCAATGCTGCTAACACTACTGTTATAGAAATCTTGCATGTTCAGAACTGGGGTAAAGCCCTACTAAGAGAATGTGATGTTGTCAGAAAACATGTTTCCCCTCAGAAAGAAATTCAATCTTTCACCTCTTAGAATGTGATAATGGCTTTAACTCTATTCAAGTCAACAAAAAGATTCAGATCCCCCCTGAATTATGTCAAGATATACTAAAAGAAGTTTCAGGTTCACACTCCTACCTTTCTGAAATGAACACTTTCCCACACAGTTCTTGACTTAAAATAACATTTCCTTTCAAATGAGAAAATAAATTGCTCACTTTGAATTGTCTTCCCCTTTCCCTAAAAGCATCTACCTGATAAATGGACCCTGTGTGTGTGTGTGTGTGAAAGCCATATGCTCAGACATTGTTTGTTCCCCACAGAAAATGCAACTGAAGATGTTATGTGAAGTCAGAAGCAATTGAGGGTGACATTCAGTAAAATAGTATGGCGAGAATGCTCTCGCGTTGTGTCGAGTGATGAGATAACTGTCGTTTGTTGGATTTGATGGCATGTTTATGAGCACAGATGGGTCAGCTGATGTTCCTAGAACAACTAGCCCAAGACCATGTTTGCATCAATGACTTCTGATGTCTTACGTGATGTCTCATCATAAGCACTGCGGGTGTCTACACAGTTCTGACACAACCTGCATGCTTGTTTGGGGGCTGGAGAAGTAGTTGGTAGTTGGAATGCAGTCAGTGGAAATGGACACTGGCCTGACTAGTATGACTGGTGCCTTGAGGAACAGAGGAGGGTCCTAATTGGATGCTATTTGCTTTTTGGTAGACAGAAGCTTCTCTTCCAGGGCTTTGTTCCTCACGAAGAAGGCCACCCTGGGGAAATGGAGGAGCTGCGTGTGAGGTTGGCACATTCAATTTGACTGCATCATGCAAACCTGGGGCTAGAGAAGACACTGCGCAATCCCTTAAACTGCTCCAACCCCCATTCTGATGCCTCGTGCTGCATGAAACCTGGCCAAAGGGTGATTTTCAGAGCCAGACATGAAATTTCCCCTGCCAGTCACACAATTGACTGCTATCACAATCCAGTCCTATGAGGCATTTTTGCATGAACAAGCTGTGACAGGTGTTGTATTGGGAACTACACGCACAAGTCCATGTTTGCAAATCCATACTATGTTCCTTCTGCATTGACTTGACTTGCCCTAATGCAGGCTGATATCTGCAACCTTATCGAGGCTGCCAGATTGGTTGCTGTAAATAAGATGAGTGTGACTCTTTCTGACAACAAGAAGTGTCAAATAATTAGATGATTCCCACCCATGATCTTACAAGCTACTGCTCTTAAAATGCAAAACAAAGAACCATGAGAGAGGGAGAGAGGGAGGGAGGGAGGGAGGAGATGGTATGCTAAAAGAAGATTTAATTGCATTCAATGGAAAGGACAGGATTCCAGTATGCTTTTACATGCAATACATTATTGACATTATGTAGTGTTTGTTTGTTTGTTTATTTAAAATATTTATATGCCATCCTGTTGCAAAAAGCCTCAGGACGGCTTACAGCATAAAATATAACATAAATAAATTCCTGACCCACACTGGCTGCAGTTAAAAACATAGGAAAGACAATATTAAAACTTATTAAAATATTGCTAGTATTGGTGTTCACCAGCATCAGTATGAAACCTAGCAGTAGTTGCAAAAAGTGTCATTTCTGACCCCAGAGAGAAAAGCTTCAGGCAAGTCAAAGATTGCCTATGAAAGGCCTTTGTTCTGGCTGACTGTTTCCCCAAAGAGGGTTAAGTCAACATAAGAATGGCTTTCATATTTCAGCTAGCGAAAGTTCAGCTAATTTAAGATTTAATCCTTCCTGAGGCTATGCGTAGCAGTAACATCTGCCTTAAAATGTTTGCCTTTTGACCTTCATTCTGCTTAACAATAGTTTGACCTAAGAACTTCAAACCCCTCACAAAATGCTGTCTCTCAATAGATTTTAGCTCACACTGTTGGTTTTCAAAAAAGACTAGGTTGTCCTGCAATTAGCCTTCTTTTCTACCTCTATCTGGGATACAGAACTACTTTTTTGCAAATGTGGGGCCAATCTGTTACCCCACATCTCGGTTTATAAAAAGAAAGCTGTGAAAGCCAGGAGGTGAAATTTGAGAATTTCTTTTTCTACATGCCTTTTGGCAATGTCTTGGATGGACTGGATTGTAGGTTTACTTATTTGTAAATTACAGAACAGAATGTGAGCTGAGGTTAGACCTGCTATCCCAACATGTGGGATGCATTCAATGGTGTTTGCAATGCAAAGTGGTACAATAAAGTATCTTAAAAGGCGCACCTTTTTTACTGTTACGATGCCTTCTTGTGTCTCCTCATCAGTGACAACACCAAACATTTCAGAGCCATCCCCTTCCAGGATGCTGTATTCCATCTCTGCATTGGAGCCCACATCTGCATCGGTAGCCTTTATCCTGCCAACTGGGGAATCAGGTGGGGTAGACTCTGGAATTTTGAACTGGTAAGCACCTGAAGGTGAAGAAATAGAAACTTTAGCCAGGTAATTAGAAATATTTGGAATCCTTCCCTCTGCCCCTAAAAAACCCTTTCAGGCATGTACAGATTTAGATATACTGTCTTTACCAGTATCTGCACTGTTTACAGCGACTGCTAGATTGGTATACCTCCAGCTGTTTGCAGGACTTTCTGGCTGCTAGATGCTTTTAGTGACACACTTCTGTGTTTCATCACAGCCTGATTTAGTGGAAAACCAGGTGCTTATAAGCAGCCTTTCCTTCTAAAAGTTTTGGACTTCATCATCCCTAGTTAGCATGAGCAATGGCCAGGAATGGTAGGAGCTGTAGGCTAAAATATCTGGGCAGTGTTAGGGTGGTGATGGTTGCTATGAAGGCAATCATTTGCCCATTATATGTTACATATGACCAGGCATATGTTTGAAGGGCTGTTAAAATATGCTTTGCTTCCAATATAAGTAGAACTTGCACAGGATCACAGGAAGAAAAAAAAAATCCAAAAGTGGCTGTGTTGACCATAAAAAGTGCAAAATTTGTATTAGTGTAATGCTGTTATTAGGTTAACCAAAAGACCATGCCATAGTGTTGAACCTGTGCTGGAGATCAGTCTTGTAAAGTTCAGTTTAAAGACCAGAGTGGATAAAATGCCCAGTGGACACTGGAACCACCAGAAACCCACATTCTCATTTTTCCTGTATCAGTTCAACCAAAAGTTCACAAAAACTGCAAGCATTTTTCAAAAGTGTAGGCATTTTGAGATCTCCAGATCTTTTCTTTTCATCAGACAAGGTGTTACCAATCATGGGGACAGGGGCTGGGGGCCCAAATGGATACAGAAAGAAAAGTAATTGAAGGGGAAGTCAGAGTGCCTGCATGTTGCGAGGGGGAAGAGGATTTGGTGGACATTCAGACTGGTCTGTGCCAGTCTTTCTCTTTTACCCCTACCTGCTTTTTCTAAATTGGTGCTAATGAAGAGATGTGGAAGCTTTGAATATTGCACAATTTGGGAGAACTTAGGTTGCTGTGGTAAAGGAGTTACAGGAATATGAGTTTCCAGTGTTTCCAATGTCAATGATCCATCAGGGTTTTCCTTTGAACCTTAAAGGGGCTATCCCAGACATGGATGCACACAGCATTCATGCCACCTGAACCATCCAGAATGGTTAAATAGCTCCACTGACATTTCATAATAGGAAAACTGTGAGATCAGTGGCCCCCCAGCTCAGTAAAGTCTATACTGAGTGGCACTGACTCTCCAGGGTTTCACTGACTTGAATGTGGTTAAGAAGCCAGTACTTTACCTGGCCCTATTCCGTCCACTCATCTCCCTGCAAAGAGAGGGTAAATAAGAGACCATCTGACCAGGTAGATCACGGCCGATAGCTTTGCCAACCTGCTGTATGCCTTTTAACTCTGTCTGCTGTGGTCTTCTTGTTAACAAGCCACACTACAAATGATCCAAAGATACTGTCTTGCGGCACCTTTCAGTCCTAATGTTTCTGCATCATTGCCACAGAATATGCAAGCAGCCTGTGGCTAGAGATGCATAATTCTCTTTGAGCCATGGAGTTGCATCTCACAGGATGGCCTACTCTTGTCAGTAGGAGTTTCCTGTTGCCATATCCACAGGTCAAGCTTTGCCCTATAGGCTAATGTTTGCCCTATATTGTTGAGTTATTTCTCAAATGGAAAAAAAATCCAATCACATTTTATAGTACACAGAATGTGGCATAGTTATGTGTCCGAGATTATTTTCCTTGGAAAGAGAAGCATTTGGTACAGTCCTCCTAGCTACCAGGACTTCAGAATACATCACTAACAATGTAGAAATGAGGACGAAGTGACTTCTGCCAAGCACATACTGTAGGTGTAATTGAGACTGATATTTTTGTTTTCTCCACTGCAACTGCACCCATCTTAACTTGAATCAGGACAGCACATTCCAGAAAGAAAGAATCAAGTCTATCTCCACCCATTTCCCCCCTAAACATTGGTGTGACTTCAGTGGCATCTAGGTTGGCTATTTGGCTATTGAACTTTGCACCTGTAAGGTTCACAACCTTTGATTGTGCAACTGATCAGTGGCTTTAAGTAAATAGGTAACTTAATTTTCCTTACTTTGGGGGAAGCGGGGTGGGTTGTCATTGACATCAGTCAGTGTGATGTTCACCGTGGTGGTTCCTGATAATCCGCCCATCTGGCCTCCCATGTCCTTGGCTTGGATGACCACCTGGTACTGCTCTTTGTTTTCCCGATCCATATTCAGCAGAGCTGTTTTGATGATGCCTGGGAATGGGAAAATTGAAGACACCATTGAAGATACTGATGTATTGTTGGAAATACTTATATTCAGTAGCTGGAATGCATTACCTTTCTTCCTGCTTGGAGCCCCCACCCCCGGTATAAACCTGATATTAAAGGATGGAATGAATTTTCAGATGTCCTTTCCAGGGATGGAGAGATCAAGCAGCATGCTGAACGGCCCCTTTCCTTCAGTGAGGCAGCCAAGTAATTTTACATGTTGGACTTTGTGGTCTTGGGATTCCCACCTCTGATATGGCATTGGATTATTATTTCACTTACTTCAAGATGATGTAGAGGAGCTTGGGACAACTTCCCTGATTTCCCTGAGAACTGATATTCTGAGCCACAAAGTGGAGCTGTGAGCTTTCACTGTTGTAATGTGAAGTATTTTGGGGAGGCTTGATTTGAATGAGCAGTTAGGACCTATTGGTTTTACAAAAGACCCTCTCCCACTCAAAAGGAAACCTCCAGAACTTGGCTGTTGACATCGACCATTTTTGGATTTGCATGCTATGGTGGCTGTCACGACAAGGGCCTACGCTTTCAAATCTTCTGTTGCATTGCTAGCAAGGAGTACAGCATTTTGGAGTACTCCTGCCTCCTCTGCCCTCTTGACAAACCATGACTGTACTTACTCTGATAATTCAATTTATTAAAATTAATAACTAAATATAAACCCCAGCCTTGTCCTCTTGACTGAGCAGTGGCTACACTTAACCTGGTGTATGTATTTAACTGTTCCCAAGTTGCAGCAACTAAATTGCAGCCTTGTTAGCATTGCTACTTTTCTGAATGGTACTTATACCAGCAATAGCAGCCATGGGAAAGAAGCATAACTGTTTCACATGGTGCTTTCATCAGTCTATCAATCCCATGATAAACTGTTTTGTGAAATGGCAAGAATGTAACTCAGCCCACACAGTTGTTTCTTGTCCTATGTGTGCAAGAGTGTTTTTCCTCACATCCTTTCTGTTCCTGCAGGCTTTATTTTGACATCCTGGGCAAAACTAATGAAGCCAAAGACAGAAAAAGTACTTGAAAGACACAGTGCTACACAGTAAGTGTAAAAGGAGTCTGTGAGCTTAGCTCAGGCTGGAAAATATTTCTGAGAACAGCTGGATTTTATACTTTAAAAATGGAGGCACCAGGATCTCCCCTTTTTTGTCCCACAAGTTCTAGGGGTGGCAGAAGATTCTTGCTCTAATTCTGTCCTGGGACTCTGAAAAATGCAAACTCTAAAACTTCATCAAGTTGCCCTCCCCTTCTTTCTCCCTTAATTGCTCCTTTTTATTTTAGTATATCTGACCTAGTAAAGGGATCCCAAAATCCCAAGAGTTTGCACACTTTGGTTGCTCTGATAAAGGCATTGCACTTTATTACTTGCATGAATTCTGGAATTAAATAGAAAGCAGTTCAGCAGCACCTCACTATTCTTTCTCTATATTTAGAATAAGAAAGTGTGATGGGAGAAGTAAGCTAACAACACACACACAGAGCAAGAGACAGCAAAAACAAACTGCAGCTAGCTTTCCTTAGTCATCTAGTGACAGACTTGCCCACAGATTTTTTCCTCAGTTTAGCATGATCAAGTTCTAAGTGCTTTTGTTTATTTGGCCTCACCAAATAAACACAAATAAACAACTCCTTTTATACATGCAGGGGAGACATTAGAGGAGGCTTTAGGAAAACCCAATATCTGCAAAAGAAAATCTTTAGAAAAAGAAATCCCAAGTGTGGGAGGCAGGGAGGGCAGGCACTCCCAAACAACCCAAAGAGGACTGTACATGCTTAATGGCCACAACACTCTGACCGATGAGGCAATTTGGAGGGAATTAAAAATGGGGCTGAGGGGTAGCACTGAGGGCCAGGATCTGAATGGGGAGCATTTCCACAGCAATGTTTTGCTGAAGATCCCAGTAAAATCTGGTTCCTAAGGATTTGTCACAATAACTTTCCCAAGTACTCTCTGGATAGCTTGGACTGAAACTTCTTTAATTCCAAGGCAATGTGCTGGCTGGGAATTATGGAACTGCAGTGCAAGATGTCCAGAGGGCACCAGGTTGGAGAAAGCTCTGTTGCTCCTTCATGTTGCCCAGGGATTCAGCTACATGGATTGGGTCCTGTCTGATAGTTATGGGAATAAGAGAAACTTTCATCTCTTTGACCCTGTAATGCAGGGGTCTGCAAACTTTTCAAAAAGGGGGCCAGTTCACTGTCTCTCAGACTGTTGGAAGGCCGAACTACAGTTTGAAAAAAATATGAATGAATTCCTATGCACACTGCACATTAAAAATTAATTAAAATTAAAATTAATTAAAATTAATTAAAAAATAAAAATAATTAAAAATTAAGAAATGTTTGCTGTGCTTGCTCGGGCTGCAGCAGAAGCGCAAGATGAAGCTGTGTCACCCGCCGAAAGGAAGAGCACAACACGAGGGGGAGCCATAAGGGCATGCTTGCCTCGGCGAGGCCATCCTGGCTCCTCACTGCCGCCCCACTTCTGAGCTGGAGGAAGGTCCCCTCACATGTGCTCATCTGGATCCGGGAGGGGGAGTGGGAGTGGGAGGCGGGAGAGGTGAGCATGGGGTGGCTCCCCCAGCCAGGAGAGGACTGTGAGGAGGGAGGTAATGGCTGCTTTCCAAGGCAAGGGGAGGTGAGGGACAGGGTCACAGCTGGCCAAGTGGGGTGCCTCCCACATCTCCCTGCTGTGGAGGAAAAAATTATGGCAGTCACTCCACAGTGGCAGTGGCTTGCCCAGAGAATGCCGTGGCAGAGGCTCGGAAGTCACGGGAACCATGGCCCTGCTCCCGCTCTCCCTCGGCCCATCTGTCCCCAGGCTTGGCGAGACAGCTGTGGCTTGGTCTGCAGCCCGGGGACGTGGCTCACATAGTTAAAAATAGATTTAAAAAGTTATGTTTTTCTTACCTTCTATCTTTTTTTAGTGTCTTTGTCTCTCTCTCTCTTCCCACTGCCCTCCTCTCTTCTGTATTCTCACTCCATATTCCCGCTCTGTATTCAGAGCCAATCCATGTGTGCAATAGGGGAAAGAGCTGGCGCACGCACAATTGAAGGGAACTGTTACAATTTGGTGTGTGCGCTGGCTCTCTGCTAGTCTCTTTAAGAGACTTAGGAAAGTCTCACCCTGTATGTGAGGTGTGGCTAGACTTAGGACAAATTTACCCTTTACATTGGGTAGAGATGAGGGGTGGGATGCAGCCGACTTCTGTTTGTGGAATCTATTTGGGGTTTTATTTATCCAGAGGTCTATGAATCAGAGCCAGATGCAAAGCAGTTGGTGTGGAGCAGTAGAAGAAACTACCTATTGCACATCATTAGCCAAATGTTGTGTTGAATCCAGAATTACACCACCCAGCAGCAACTGTTGCATTTTTCATTCCACTTTAAAGCTAGGCTTAACTTGTTTTCAAATCATCTTCTTGTATGAACTGAACAGGAAGCAAAAATTATTCTCTAACTCAAGTTACCCCTATGTCACACATTTCTTTTCAAAGCCAAATAAACTGAACTGAGCATTTCTTTAAATGCCAGCATCTTAAACATACCCAGTGTTTGTTTAAACAGACTTGAAAAGGGCTTTGGATCCAGGCTTTGTTCAGCTTATTAAGTTCAGATACAAAGATTAAAATAATCTGATACATTTATAGACATATTGCTCTACTGGTCCTCTTGATGTCTGTACCAAGAATTTGTCTAATATACCCTAGCTCAACATAGCAAGTCATTTTAAATAATGAAAACTGTTAGAGAATGTCAGATTAAGGTCCCCCAACCTGACTCAGACTCAACGGAGAAATATGGCTGCCCCTGGAGAATGCTGTAGACAACTCTGGCACTGTTCCCGTAGGTAGGGTCATCGGCATCCGTCGCTGTGACTTGCACAACAAATGTTCCTGAAATCACAAAATATAAAAGCATATACTCTGCTCTGCTAAAGAACCCAATTTTAAACAGTCATGCTTGCTTCTATCAGTTGCATATGCTTCAACCTTGAAGCTTGCAGTGTTCTTTTAGGAAGAGATTGGAATAGGTTTTGCGAGAAGAGGGTTCAAGATCAATCATGTATTTTCAAGGTCAGCTCTTGGATATATGAGCATTTGATGTGGCTATTTTAGCAGTGGGAATAGGCTGGATATAAATAAATAACTACTGCTGCTTGTAACCATTTCATATACTTCAGAAAAACCACAGACACAGATGCTTTTTGAGAAATATTTGCAAATTCCCAAATTTGCAATCAAGTTCAAAACAGACCTTTTAAAAAGCACTCTTAGAATTGTGCAGTTTTAAATGTATTTTTGTGCTTTACTCAATGGTGGGAAAGAAGACACTTTTGAAAAATACACCAGAATTCCTATTTGCAAGTTGAAGGAGCTGAGAAAATGAAAATGAGAGCAATCAAAAATTAATTCTGAAGTGATTTTTAGGTAACTTAACTGCTGGCTCACCCATACCGACTCCTGAAACATGGGACTGTCCCCCGTATTCCCCCTACATTTGAGAAGTGGAGTTGGCCATGTTCTTTGCTCTTGAATCATTCCATTTTCATTCACAACTCACTGAGAGGCAGCTGTACTGGGACCACGGTATATGTGTGGGAGCTCTGATGTCCCCCCACCTAGATTTCTGCCCTCGTGACAACCATCTACAATGGGAAGAATGCTTCAATAGGTGTCAGTGGGAACTTTTCTCACACTGGGGATAATTAAGAGGAGGAGGAATTCCGATTGTCAGGGACAAGGACTCAAAATTGTCCTTTGACCAGCTAGTAAACTGGATCTCTGTATAGTTCACTTATCTGATACCTACCTACATCAGACATTTCTGGGACACTGGCATTGTAGATGTCCTTTGTAAATAATGGCTCGTTGTCATTGATGTCATGAATTTTGATGATAAACTCTGACTCAGGCTCCACCGGTACTCCAGTCCTCTTGTTGACAGCCTGGGCACGAAGAGTATAAACAGGCTTCTCCTCCCTGTCTAGCCTTCTTGTGGCTTGTATATCTCCTGTGTTCTCATTGATAATGAAGAGGTCTCCTGCCCCATCTCCAGAAAGGATGTATTTAAGTGAACCATCTCCTCTGTCCTGGTCAGAGTGAAGCTGTGGGAAAAATAAGAATTTCAAATAAAGGGATAAATAATATGGAAGTCACTCCCCAGGCTGAACTTCTGCCAACTGTTATTCATGTTGAAGCAGCACTCACAAGCTGGAAGATTCCAGAAAATGTATTTGCTGAGTCAATTGTCTCAGTCCCCATTGTCCAGCCCATACAGCTAGCCACCTCTCGTTGAGGCAAGGCATGCTTTTGTTTTGTATTGACAGGGAGATTGTTGCAAACAGGAAGGCTTAGCACTTTGCCACAAACCTAGACTGCATCAGCCATGATGGCTCAAGGGCTGGCCAACTTGATTTTACCGCCTTCTGGTTTAAATGGGAAAACCTAGCCAGGAAACCTAGTTTGTCCTCAGACCCAACTAAATGAAACATTAAATGCAGTGTTGCATTTACTGTGATGGTTTTTACAAGCACAAGTAGCATCCGCTACATCTCTGCTTGTGTGTGATAATCACTGAGATTCTCAATGGCAAAGGATGTTCCTTTGCTATGTTCCAGGCAAAATCCCTCCTTTGAAGCTAGCATGTTCATTAGGAGCATGTTCTCCATTTCTGGTATTTGTGGTGGGAGAAGCTCCCACACTGGTGCCAGTTGGGGAGTGGAGATTTCATCCTAATGAAAATACCATCTAGGCAAGAAACCATAGCTCCTTCCCCATTTGCATAACGTCCAATTAGTGGTACTTAACTAGGCAGAATGGAAACCTATTCAGATGACTGAACCTTCCCATTATTTATTTATTCATTTATTTAAAACATTTTTACCCCCTCCAATACAGAAGAACGTCTCAGGATGATTTACAATAATTAAAACCAATAGCAATTACAGTAATGATAGTTACAATAAACAATAATAATTACAATAATTTAAGACATTAAATAATGAAATGATAAATAACATTCATAACAAAAAAATGAAACAAAAACAAAATGCGACTGTAGATGTTAAAAACTATTAAAAAAACCCCAATCCTTAAAATGATGGGTGAATAAAATGGTTTTTACCTGGCACCAAAAGGAAAATAAAGTCAGCACCAGGGGTACCTCTCTGGGGAGTGCATTCCATAGTCTGGGCATCACCACAGAGAAGGCCTTTCTCCAGGTGGACACCCTCTTTACCTCCTTCAGGGAGGGTTCCCGGAGCAGGGGCTCTCCTGCCAAACTTAAGGAGCATGAAGGCATATAAGGAAGGAGTCGTTCCTTCAGGTATCCTGGTCCCAAGTCATTTAGGGCTTTAAAGGTTAGCACCAGCACCTTAAATTGGACCCGGACTTCAATTTGAAGCCAGTGTAGCTCAACAACAACAACTGAAGTATTCTAGTAGAATCTCCACATTCCTGGAGAGATGGGGCCTAGAGATATGCTTTACTCATTCTCTCCATCCTGGATGAGAAATGTAATACTAAGAGCGATTAATTCAAATCAGTATCCCCCAGTCTGGAAAATGAAAAGACTACGCAAGAGTTGCCTTCCATGACCGGCTTCTCATAAGCCCAGCTTTTTGTCATCACAGAATAGAGATTACCTGACATGACAAAGTATGGCTGATTCCCCTCTGTCCAGTTTTTAACATTTTTCACATGAGAAGGCAGAAATGAAATTATCCAGGCACCCATTTTGGGTAAAGAAGGGTTTCTGCCATGGGATAATTTCTTTGCTTTTAAAATTTGGTTATTGAGACTAGATGGCTGCCTTTCTTGGATCCAGCTTGGGAAATGGACTGTTCAGATAACATATCCATGTTTAGACACAAGATGCCCTACAGAACTGTAGGGTTTTCCCCTTTTTGTTTAACTATGAATACTACTGTGCCCTAAACATGGTTGATCCTTGTCTCCGTTTGACCAAAAAGAGGCAAGCTCCCCTTTGCTTTTAAGACATATTTGGAATTTTATTATTTATTTTCTAGTTGGGAGTCTCAAGTGACCTGATTTCCTAATATATTTTTTATCAGTTGCACCAATTTTCTTCTGGGTTTGGCCTTTCTGTCTTAGATGTGATTAATATATAGATGTTTTGAATTATTTTCTGGGTACTTCCTCTCTTCCTAGGAGGAACTGATATTCCAAATGGCCAAAGGGATAACAAGATTATTACATGCTTGCTTAGGAATGGTACCAAGAAATGACTATTTCTTTTTTCTTTTTCAAATCTTTTTTATTTATTTTCAGAAACCACACACACACACACACACATGTAGGAAAAAGGTGCCAAGGGTCATTCCAAAAATTTAGCATGCAATATCCTCATTTGAACACATTTATAATAAACAAACATCTCTATCAGCCAGCATCCCCTCCTAACCATTCGATTTTCCATCAAAAAGTTATCCAGCGAAATTTCTGTGATTTAAGAAGAGAATCAACTGAGGGAGCAAGATTTTGTTTTTCGGCGCCAGGCCAAGACCTTTTTATTTATTTTATTTAAATGATATTTTAATTGTTAATCTGTGTTTAATTTAATGGTTTTATATTATCGCCGAGAACTCCAAATTTTTAATATTGTTCTATGCTTTGTTTATTTGTTTTCCTTGTGAGCCGCCCCAAGGCTTCGGTGATGGGTGCGGCATAGAAATTTTATAAATAATAATAATATATGTATTCTAGAAAATGAAGAATCCCCTCAAGTGAATAAAAATGTGGTGTATAAGGGAGTATGCATGCTGTTGACCAGTTTGGGGAAAAAATATTCAGAAGGCCAAAGTAACTCACTGTGAGTGCCTAAGATAAGAACAAAAAAATCTCCATTCTCATATTTAACTTAAAATTCAGCTTCACTGCTGGTGGAAACAAACAAGTTATTTTTAATATATGCCAAAGTAAAACCTGCAGAGTGTCTTTGTCATTATTGCAAAGATGTAGTGACAAGATCAAGAACCTACAAAGATTTAATTTTGCATTACATTTAGGGGAAAAGTGACAGTTTCTGAAGAAAGAATGTCTGCAGAAAAAATACTCTTAAAATCAGTTGACTTTCCTATTTTTCACCATGTGATTATCTTTCTGCACAATGCATCCTATTAAGGGGCAATTAAACTGCGGGTTGTATGCTATTGAGCTCTCACTGCTTGATTAAGGAGTACTTGATGACCCTTGGACAGCTGTCTAAACTGTTTTCATCGAAAAATATTGCACTTTTGGTAGTCTTTGGATAGTACAACTATATTGATCCAGTTCTCAGTCCAAAACACCCATACTTCAGTGCATCGGGAATGGATGATGAGTTGAGAACTCCCTCTCTGCTTGAGAGTGGCATTTCAGAGAAGATTTGCTCCTTTGTTAAACCAAAGATTACCATGACTTCTGAGCTGGATAACTGGCTTAACCCTCCAGGGATACTTAGCATCAATTGCTCCCTGACAGAAAAAAATTACTTCAAGTCAACCTTTCACAATTCCATGTTTCACGAATGCCTCCACCATGATAGGTTGCAATTGCCATATGCTGCTTGTGCAAGCCCCACCCCCCAAATCTACCCAAAATAGATGGATCTATTGTCCCAGCTTTTAGGGTTAGTTCTACCCCCACTGAAATGTGAAAACAAAGAAATCATGCAGATGAGGTGCTAGTGGTCAAATCATTCCTACATGCTGCTGTTCAGTTCTTCAGTTACTCTTCATACAGACAGATGCTTAGATTACAATCTGTTCTTTCCATTTCTGGTGAGAAATGAAATGCACATAGGCAAGGTTCTTAATATTACTAGGGTATCAGGAGTCAATAGTACCCCAAAGGTTTATAAAATTCCTTTATGAACCCAAAAATTTAAAGGCACAATCAATGTACATTTGGAGAGAAAGATGACCTACAACTGCCAGTGTTCCCCTTCCAGCCACGAACAGTTATTAAGGGAAAGTTTAATTCTCCCTACAAATCACAATTACAAAGCAGGGTCAAGCTGTGGTTTCCATTCCTAGCTCAGGTGACCTTGGGAACTCTGCTTTGGGTGTGTTTTACTAGAACCTTGAGTTGGGTACCAAAACTGAATGAAACACAGTCTTTATAACTGAAATCCCAATTTCTGTAATTTTGTTGCTGCTCTTGCTAAATTTTGGGGCATCAGAAATGCTTCTGAGGCCATCACAAAGCATTTAGGAATATGCTACTCACTCCTCCTACCAACTCCTAGCTCTTACCCACATTATCCACTTTCAAACATAAGAAGAAGTTGTAGTTCAGGTGTCTTCTCAGAATCTGGGACAGGGAGCATTTCGTGTTCTTGTTTGTTTTCAAACCAGCAATGCCTGGTTTGCTGAGCTGGGAAGGTGACATCTAATCACAGCCAGAGGTCTGGTTCAATCAGTGATATTCATTCACTGATCCATGTTATTACTTGATGCTACAGTAAACAAACTACAAGCCCCATCTTCTACTGAATCTACGAGTCCTATTACCCATGCCACTTTACTGCCTTCATTTCAGAGTTCATGATCTAATCAGTGATGCGTGTGACTTAGCAGTCATTTGCTAAGGGCTTTGACTCTATTACCACAGCCAAAGCATCCCGGCTGCCCTAAAACAAAACAAAATGAAGCTAAGAGAAGTGAAGCAAGCAAGCAAACAAAAGACATAAGGAAGGCAAATGTTCAAGGGCCTCTTGGATGAGGGTGCTTTGCTACATCAGGGGAAACAGCAGCATGAGCAAGGGAGGCCACGAGAGGACCACGTTCTTCTCATCTGAGGAGAGCGAGGCAGTCCCATTTCTCCTGAGGCTCCAGATGTTTTCCTCTGTGCTTGTCTCAAGTGTGGAGGCAGACACTGTCCTATCACCATTGTCATTCTATTGTCATTCTGCTCCGACAGTGAGGTAATTCTTCCTGGTATCTAATCTAAATCTGGTTTCTTTTAAATTAACTCCATTATTCTATGCCCTGCACTCTGGGATGATTGAGGAGAGATCATGTCCTTCCTCTTTGTGACAGCCTTTCAGGTACTTGCAGGGTGCTGTCATATCACTCTTCAAGTCTTCTGTTCTTGAGCCTGATCA